TATTTGAGGAAGACCATTTCGAAATTTATCCACAAGCCTTTGAAAAGTTGCTGGAGCATTCTTTAATCCAAATGGCATCCTGTTAAATACGTATATACCAAAGGGTGTTGTAAATGCTGTTTTTATTTTATCTTTATCAGCCATTTTTATTTGCCAATATCCAGATTTTAAATCGATTGTTGACATAAATGATGATGCTTTTGCAGCATGCAACAAATCATCCATCCTTGGTAGAGGATACTTGTCTGTTGTAGTGATCGCATTTAATCGGCGATAGTCTACACAAACTCGAACTTCTCCGTTCTTTTTCGGTACCAATACTACAGGAAATGCCCATGGAGATTCTTCTTCTTTAATAATATTTTTCTCCAACATATCATCTATTTCTACCTTGAGTTTTTCTTTCATCTTTGGAGAAATGTGATATGGAGGACAAGAAATTGGTTTGTGGTCTCCTGTATCAATAAAATGTTCCACCTGTGGGATTGGCTTTGGATTATCCTCAAAAACATGCTTCATTTCTTCCAATAAGTTTTCTAATATCTTTCTTTGATCTTCATTTAAATTGTTAGCTTCATTTTCTCTTAATTTAAAATCAATAGCATTTAATTGAATCAACGACTGAAATTTATCAGTATTTTTATTATATTTTACGCGTTTTAATGGTGGAAATAAGTTTGATTCCGTAATTGTAGATGAATCTGGAGGAATACTTCCTTCAAAAATCTTGTTAATTCCACCTGGCGAATAATCATAAACTGTGGAAATATCTGAATTCTTCGGTGTAGATTTTCCATCTTGTGGTAATGTATTCGAATTCTCAAACCAACCCAGAAATTTATCTACCGAATTGTATTCCATTATGTTGGCTTGAGTGAGAGGTATTGATTTTACCAACATAGGTTCATTCATTTTGAATTCAAAATTTGTATTGGGGTCATCTTTAAAATGCCAATTCCTTTGGGCTAAATCCAGGACGATTCCAGCTTGTTCGAGGAAATCTATTCCCAATAAAGTTCTATTGCTTTTGGCCCAAGGCAAGCAAATGAAACGAATGCGTTTTAAACGCTTTCCAATAATGATCTTAACGATCGTTGAATAAACAACTTCTTCTCGGGGTATACCATCAGCCATAATTATTTCCGCTTTAACCTCTTGAAAATCGACTTCCATTGTTTTTAATTTCTGAAACAATGTATATCCTGCAACGCTTGTACGTGCGGCTGTGTCGAAGTAGGCTTCACCTTTAAGAGCATTAATATTTATATCCACTGTGGGTACATTTCTTCCAACTATATTGTTATTGACTGCATTAAAGTCTAGTTTATTTGGGCTATTCAATGGGTTGTTTTTATTGCAATTTGGGCAATTTGACCTATAGTAGCCGGCAGCACCGCAGCCATAACAATTTAATGTGGTTTCTTGAACTTTTGGCTGTTTTTTCCTGTCAGCCTCAAGCTTCTTATAGCACGATTCAGACGTGTGATTCTTTTTTCTGCAATATGAGCAGCGAAGTAAGGATTTATCAATATTTTCCGTATGATGACTTTTTGCATTCTTTATCTGGTCAGATTTTGGCCCCTTATTTTCCATGATTAGCATTTCTATTTCCCTGGCTTGTTGTAGCAAATCTTGAAAAGAAGTAACGTTATCTCTTGCTATCTTTTTTCTAATCGATATATTTATTTGGGAAAATATCATATTAAGCATCGTATTTTCTGATAATTTTTCAGATAATTGGGCAAATAAGCGTCTTTTCTTACAAACAAATGAATCAGTTGATTCATACGGCTTTTGTTTTTCTTGCCTAAGCTCTGCAAAAATTCTCCAATCGGGCTTATGGGGTGAAAAAGCTTTTCTTAACATATCTATCGCCATATCGAAGGTCTTTGCTTCACTTTTTACCCCTTGCCACCATGTAGAAGCATATCCCTCAAGCAATAAGGGAAAACTTGTTATAGCTAGGAAATCGGAAACATTTTGTGCGTCTTTGTACACTAAAATTGTGGCAATGAAATCATCAACCTTGCTTGAATTTCTTCCGCCATTAAAACGGGCACTACAATTGACGAACGTCGACTTCGGTTCCTGCCTAACAGTTAATCCTCCTAGTAGGTCCATAAATTGACCTTGTGTCAGGGTTATATTCACTGAACTATTTGGAACAGAGTTAGCACCAGATATCTGTGGTAAACTTCCAGAATCCTGAGGAGTAATTGGATTGTGTGCGGAATAGCTAAGAATATCATCCATATTTGGTAATGCGGAAGCAGATCTATTACTATGTGGAGAATTTACCTCAGAAGTATTAACGTGGTCTTCGGCAGAAGTACGGTTAACTACTGGGTTCTGAGCTACCTGCACATTTTGCGATGTTTTTGGTGTAAGACGTGGACTTCTACGCTTGTTTTTGCATAAAATATTTTTATGAAAATAATATCGAGACACACTGTGTTTAATGAGATCAGAGAGTTTCTTTTGGTAGAGAGTGTTTAAATATACTCCAATATTCTCAATTACCAGTGGTGAATATAAATTGGATTCAGGTACTCTTCTCTCAATACCCAATATAATTCTCTTTTTGGAAACACTCAATATTATTATGGAGAACAATTATTCTCTGTGATCGTATAAGAGAATGAATTATCACTCAATCTCTTTACATGCATTTACTTTGAAACAACCAAACATGCGTCGTATGCGATGATGTTACAACAACAACACACAACTGCTCCAAATGTGACAATCGATCACAGCAACAACAATAACACGCATTCGCAGCTCCAACTGTGACGATTGATCATAGCAACAACAATAACACACGTTCGCAGCTCCAACTGTGACGATTGATCACAGCAACCACTGTACCAAAGCAACAACAACAATGACACACTTTCGCAGATCGAGTGAGAATTTGTATTATCACAACAACAATTTGGTGGAAACAACGGCAATGCAGTCGGCAGCTCCAAACAGCGATGTTTATGACGTCTCTTTTAGGAATGTAGGGCAGTTTTGCAAATGTGCGCCTATATTGTTGGATTTTTTTTTGTACATATTCCGAATTTTTACTTGATTTTATTAAAATTTTTGTAGATTTTTATCGTTGGGCGCCATTGAAGGGGATGAGACTCCTTGAAATTAGTATTAATATTATTATAAATATTTAGGGTCAAAGCCAGACTTAATGTCAAAGCTGTCCACTAAATATAATATTATTTTATAATTGCACGAGGCAAGAACAGTGTCAAAGCACAAGTTCGCCTACGCACAGGTTTAATATTTTTTATAATTTTTTATTTATTATTTGCCTCTCTAGGCTTTTCAAAAAAATGCGCTGATGTTTGTTTAATTTTTGGTGATGTTTATTATTCCGCAAATAGTCATCGAATGCCTAGTTTACAAGAATTGGTTATGATTATATTAGAATTCGGAAGCAAACAAAGTTTTGTAACAAAGAGTAATTGAGAACAAATCTTGCAATGAGTGAACATAAACTTTCCAATTATTCCAATAATGTTACATTTGAGTAAAATATGATCAATAACACTAATGTTAACAAGTATAAGTCATATTGGGAAATTAATATAATTTTGTTAAGAATAATCATTAGTCAAATTATAAAATAGTGAAAACAACATAACGTATATAAGTAATAGTAATAATTATGTGAAATGCTTCGTTACAAGTTTTATATTCGATATTTACATCAGATTTAAAAATCATGTCGAATGAAGCAGTTGCTCTGTATGCTGATGATACTGCAATAATATCATCGGGAAAGGTATCAAATTCCATTATAAAGAGGATGAAGAAATCATTTGTGCATCTTGGTAAATACTTCGATAAATGGAAAATCAAAATAAATGAAGGAAAAATACAAGCTATTCTCTTTCCATTTAACAAATCCCGAAAGCGAATTCCAAATGCCACTTTATGCATTTCTGGATGTACTATAGAATTACAGAAGTCTATAAAATATCTTGGGATAACACTAGACAAATCATTGACCTTTAAAGAACATGTTTTAAATGCAGCTGAAAAGGCAACAAAATGTGGACGTGCTCTATTCCCTTTACTGAACAGGAAATCAATGTTAAATATAAAAAACAAATTACTCATATACAAAATGTGCTTAAGACCAATAATGACATACGGCTGTCAAATATGGTCAAGGATTTGTGCTAACACGTATATGAAAAAGCTTCAAGTAATTCAAAATAAACATCTAAAAGCGATATTTGGATTAAACATGCGATATTCAACCTCACAACTCCACAGACGGTTCAAAGAGGAAATGATTTCAACATTTATGGGAAATATCAATGAAAAATTTGGATCGCAAAGCAGAACATCTTCATTTAGATTAATACGAAATATTTACTAGTATTATTAAACTATTAAAAATCTGTTAACTATATATTAAACAATATATACATATTTTTTGTATTTGTATGGTTTTTCTCCTATCTTTTACCATAAATTGTAACCATCATTTAATGAAATAGTTTTTCCTTGAAACATAAAATACTTTTACTTGCTGCAATACTTAGTTATATCTCAAAACTTGAAAAATTCATAAAAATGTTTAAATTATTTTTAAATGTAGTATGATAGATGATATTTAATAAAAAAACCTATAATTAAAATGTTTCCAATTTGTGCTTAATCCAAAATTATATAGTGTCGCTAAACTAATGTTTATTTATTTTACCTATAAAAAGATTCGCTGAAAACGTAGCGGGTCTATGCTAGGTTTAGTTATATTTAACTTGAAGTAATTTACAAACGAAAAACTAGAGCTTTTCAATTACTATTCTGTTTCGCCAAAAAAAGAAAATAGAAATGACACACCGGGGCCAAAAATTGTCAAAACCAAGTAAGAGTAAGAGAATTGATGGAAAACACTCCAATTAAAATAAATATTGATACGTCAAGTATACTTATCTCTACATAGTCTTTTCCCTACAAAGGTTCAAATCTGATAATTGTTTGCAGACTTATTTCACCTTATTTTTGGAAAATAAGGTGAAATAATTTTTATTTATTTCTCTTTCGAGATGAGCTACTTGATCGAAGTTGCAATGATATTCCTAGTTTTTTGCTTGGATGTAATCTGCTGATTTTCATCGAATAACGTATAATATAATATAACGATATTATACATGCTCTATGGGGTGTGAGGAGTGTTTCTGTGTAATTTATTTCCGATAGGTATATCCTCATATAACTTTGCCTTCTTAATTGCATATGGGTCTAGGTTCGTGGATTTTGAGATCTTAGGAAAATTCCCTATTAGGAGTTGCTGAAATTTATTTTTCGTGTGCTTTGTGGTTCACAACATTTGTTTAGCAATGTATTTGCAAATGTATGTGGGTGTAAAAACAACCCATAAATGCCGAAAATTATACATCATATATATTGCTTAGGCAAGAACGTGGTACAATAATACAAGATAGGGCAGCTTCAGTTGAATAACAAAAAAGCAACTATGTGTATAAAATAAATATAACCAACAAGTGGAAATTTTTAACGCGAAAAATGAATGAAATCTTCTGATTTCTTTCCAAAATCCAGTAGGGAATAACATTTGAATATATTCCAATTTATTTTGAATTTATTTGACATAGTATTCAAAACATGTGACATTTTCCTCAAGTAAAAAACAGCACCACTATGTGGGCATTATGCCAAAAAAGGAAACTAAACCGATAATTAGCAGGGAAATACCGAATTAAAGGCACTTTGTTCCTATCTTCAAAGTACCTAAAACGGGACTATGCCAAATATATTTTTTGAACATAGAAAAACGACAGATGACATATATCCCATACGATATTGGCTGAAGCTTGAATTTATTCTAAATTTGAAACAAAGCCAGAGATATTTTTGAAAAAATTCTAATACATACCCAGTAGTTCGAGTAACTGGTTATGAACTAGTTATTTTACTAATTACCTGTAACTACCACTAGTTACCACATCATGCCCTAGACTGTTGAATTTAACATGGGTATGTCATTGGGGAAGTCAATTGTCCCCTGCCTGCATTACCAGTAACCAGTCATTTGGGTGGATACCATTTTTAAGTATTGTCACTAGTTACAAATATATAGCAAATTGGCTATTATAACAGTTTGGAAAATTGAAAATATAAATGTTATACGGAAATTGTATTTTTTATTTATTTCATAATTTATATTGTACATAGTTTATATTTCATTTAATTTTATCAGAATTTTTACTCCGCCATATTGACATTTGCATTTCTTGTGTTTCTTGGCCGCTTTTAACATCCGTTTTCTACGAAATGATTGAAATATTGAAGCATCTGAAATAGAAATTACAAAATATATGTACATAAATAAAGATATGGATCTTTTTGGAGAATATTTACCTATTCAAAAATTTTAATTGTTTTCTCAATCTGTTGGATGCTTCTGGAGTGACATCTATTGAAAATCTGTAAGATAATAATGTTGAAATATTACATACATATGTATTTATTGAGTTGCAATATCAAAACTTACCCAAGATTCATCATATGTATTTTTAATATTCCGAGATTTTTAATTCAATAGCACTTCATCTTGTATATCGTGGATATATATGACTTATATATGATTAAAAGAATATTTTTTAAATAAATTGCTTTCACAATTCTGAAAATTGTAAAAAGTCTGAAGGAAATGACAATTTTTTTTGTTTTGTTTGTCGATTCACTACTTTTTGCATTACCAGTAACTACAGAATTAGATAGCTTTTTCAATCAACAAATGAAGTCAATTATCTATTTTTTGTGTCACTTTTGGATATAAAGTAACTAGTGAACATAGTAACTAGCTATATAACTATACAATAGCAGACAATTGCTATTCATTGAACAACTGGGTAGACATTCATTGTAATCCCACAAAAAATTTTCATTATAACGTCGAGTTCAATGATGTTAACAAATCGCTATGTACGATTATAAACATCTCAACAAATTAGCTACGATATATGGAAGATATTATTGAATATTTTCTTATATTCGATAATAATATGTTTAAATTCGAACACTACATTGTGCTCTTGATTAGACATCAAGAGCACAATCTAGGATTCGAATTTAATTTTATATGTATTTGCCATAATGGTTCCTCAAATATATTTTCATGATGTGAAATAGTCGAGAAATTGGAATTATCGAATGTTGTGTCAGTTACACCGTTTATAACTCAAGAAGGTCTGAACCAATTTCGATGACTCAAAGTACTTATGAATCGTACAGTATTTTTCGGTTAATTGACCCTACCCTTAATTGGTTTCCACGATTAATTGAATCACATGATGAGGCAAACAAATATTGCATAAACTCTGTTAATTGATATAATTTGGGTGAAGATTGCCATAGTTCAGCATTTCGTATATAACTTATTATATATGAGAACTGAAAGTTGGGACAGAATAAATAGTTCGTTGTAAAGAAGTTCGCTAAAAGAGTAAAAATTTGTATCAAATTTGTATTAAAAAATTCGGGACCTGTAGGCCTATTCTACAACTTTTAACAACATTCGATATTGTTTAAATTTCTTTTGTTGTTGTAAAAACAATAAAACAAACAAATGAAATTGTTGTTTTAAATAGACAATATGGAATGTTGTTAAAAAGTTATAGAATACAGGGGCAGGAAACCTACCTACTACGTTAACCTACCGAACATTTCGTGAATAAACGAAATGAAAAGGAAGTACAAATTTGCACGTATTAACAATTGTCGGTAAGTCTGTCGTACTATAGTGCTATTCTGTAAATTTTTGTATTAGCTCTGTCTGTTTACTGGATGTTGTCTGTTTATTCCAAAGCCCAGTAAAAGAGAGAGCTAGTTTGACAATTCTGAATGTTAATGGGTAAATTTCTTCCAGTAATATTTTTCCTGCATCAGAGATCATCCGCCAGAAACAGTGATGTAAATGACATACATTTCCAACGTATAACACATACGTAACAAACCCACACAAAACCATTAGGTTTTCGACAAAATAGCTATTTCCATTGATCAATTTGGAATTCACGAACGATTAACTCAAATCCATATCAACTTTCAAAATGTTCTTCTCCAAAAAGTTTAGAATTTTATCTCCCGGTGAGATATCTGCAAATTGTAATGTTTCATTTTGGAGGGACTTAAAGTCAAAGGCTTCGACAAAAATTTAAAAGGGAAAGATCCAAAACTGGGAATCTTCCTCTAGAAATTTAATTAAAAACACAGTTTATATAACAAATTGAAAATCCAAATTCGGGCTCGGTTGAAGTTGCGGCAAATGTTGAAAGACGTGAAATCGAAACCTAAGTATGCGATTTTTGCAAAGTCCGTCATACGGAGTACAATCACAGAGGAAACAAAACAACGAAAAGGTCCTTTTTATATAAATTGTTCAAATAATGATTATAAATATTATTTTTAGAATCAGTAGCCCTTATGAATTATATTGTACAATTTGTTAATAATAAACCAGTAAGGAAAGTAGTAAAGTCAGACGGGGCCGACTATATGATACCCTTCACCACTTTGGGTATATTCAACAGATGAATCCTAATAGACGTCGCATTTTAAAGGACCAGTAAAATCAAATTGGATCCATAAACATGTCATTCTGCAACCGATACTAAATTTTTCATTTGGTCAGATATAGAAGCTATATCGAAATCTGAACCGATTTTCAGGAAACTTAACACACATCATTCTAGGCTTAATTCCTTACGCTGTGCCAAATTTCGAAAGATATATAGGGACTTTGGTGCACCATTTACATTAAATCGGACGAAAATATATATGGGAGCTATACCTAAATCTGAACCAATTTTCCCAATTTCAATAGGGTTCGTCCCTGGGCCAAAAAAGTTACCTATGCCAAATTTCATCCAAATCGGATCATAAATGCGGCCTGTATTTTGTTCACAAAAATACATGGACGGACAGACGGACATGCGTAAATCGACTCAGAAAGTGATTCTATGCATATTCTCAAAAGGAACCATGGGTCTATCTCGATTATTTTTGCCTGTTACAAACATATGCACAAAGACATAATACCCTGTACAACAATTTCAATAGGGTTCGTCCCTGTCATTTTTCATTTGGTCAGATATAGAACCACAGTGTGGTGAAGGGTATAACCAGTAAGGAAAGTAGTAAAGTCGGACGGGGCCGACTATATGATACACTTCACCACTTTGGGTATATTCAACAGATGAATCCTAATAGACGTCGCATTTTAAAGGACCAATAAAATCATGTCATTCTGCAACCGATACTAAATTTTTTATTTGGTCAGATATAGAAGCTATATCTAAATCTGAAGCGATTTTCAGGAAACTTAACACACATCATTCTAGGCTTAATTCCTTACGCTGTGCCAAATTTCGTGCAAATCGAAAGATATATAGGGACTTTGGTGCCCCATTTACATTAAATCGGACGAAAATATATATGGCAGCTATATGTAAATCTGAACCGATTTTCAGGAAACTTAACACACATCATTCTATGCCTAACTCATTACCCTGTGCCAAATTTCGTGCAAATCGAAAGATATATAGGGACTTTGGTGCACCATTTACGATAAATCGGACGAAAATATATATGGGAGCTATATCTAAATCTGAACCGATTTTTCTCAATTTCAATAGGGTTCGTCCCTGAGCCAAATAAGTTACCTATGCCAAATTTCATCCAAATCGGATCATAAATGCGACCTGTACTTTGTTCACAAAAATACATGGACGGACAGACGGACATGCGTAAATCGACTCAGAAAGTGATTCTATGCATATTCTCAAAAGGAACCATGGGTCTATCTCGATTATTTTTGCCTGTTACAAACATATGCACAAAGACATACATATGCATACCACAGTGTGGTGAAGGGTATAAAAATGTACTTAACATGGCACGTAAGATTTAAGAAACTTCCATACTTTGATAGCTTCTGCTGAAAAACTCACTTTTCGGACTTAGCATACTATTCTTCGG